ATGACATGGCTTCTGTGTGTGTGTGTGTGTGTGTGTGTGTGTGTGTGTGTGTGTCACCAACGCTTTGACACCTCATACGTCAAAATCAGACCAATAGCAACGAAGATACGTTTTAACGTCCATTTGACAAGGCCGCCATCTTTGTTTTTGGTCTCTCCGCCTTCTCCCCGTTCCAACGAGCCTTCGTACACCCCGATCGGACCAATAGAAACAAAGATATGACGTAATGACCTTTTGGCATGCTCCGATGCGCACGGCACATACTGCGTTCAACCCCATTTTTTATCCCCTTTCCAACGAGCCCTCGTACGTCATCCTACGTTAAGCCGTTTGGCATTTGCAACCAGGGGTTGCGATTTTAGGGGTTGCAATTTAGGGGTGCGCTCAGACATAGGTGGTATATCAACTAAAATACTCCCCGTTTTCATATACGTTCTCCTCACTAGAAATGTCTAGTTCGCTGTCCGAGTTTTCTGATCGCACTTCGACATAACCGATTTCGTCCACGCCACTTTCGTCTTCAAACTCATTTCTTTCATTTCCATCGTCAGAATCGAGAAACATACTCTGAAGCTCTTCAACGTCCTTTGGATCATCCAACTTTTATACCTTCTTCGACATTCTGAATATAATATTAATATAGATCACACAACGAAACAAACACGAAAACATATAGGTTCGATCTGCGAGGTCGCGGTCGCGGTATCTGTCAGATACAACTGTTGTTCGGTTACGACAAACGACAAAGGTTCACTTTTCAACCGCTAGAAATTACCTGAAAGCCGACGCTGTCTGTTTCCCCACTCCTAAGACATAAACGTGAAGCTAGACAGTGCCGTAGATTTATACGATGCACTTCTTTCAAAATAATTATTAAAAATGTTTTCAATGTATCTCTCAGATCAGCCGCGACTTCCGGAGGGTTAAATATTGTTCCTATAAAACTCGTTTTCTTCTACTTGCATTTTTAAGTGGTTTTTTGCTTTAAATCTGCGTTATCTTATTACTAGTGTTACCATGGACGTATAAACACAGATGGACTCAGTTATTTACATAAAATTGTGTAGTCAAAATTATTTGAATAGGTCACATTCTCAGCACCTTCAACTGTTGTCACGTTTTGTTTTAAAATTTCTTATTCGCGAGTCGCTGAAAATATTACTCCGTATTTTATACTCTACAGATGCTATCAAACCAAAATAATAATTTATTGGTTAGATTAATATATTTAATTGTAATCAAAATATCAAGTGTGCACATAGCGTGCATTATCATTTAATAATAGCCTATAATAGATATCAATCAATTATTTTAAATGTAGAAGCACTGAAAACTATTTATAAATGGCAACGGTTGTTTACATTTCTCTGTCTTATGGATCTACGTCAAACTTCAAATGCTGTTCCATGTTTGTTTACTTTTTACAGTTGATGAGGAAAAGTTGTTTTTCGATATTTTGGCTGTATTTTGAGTGATATTTGTGAAAAGTGAAATAAAATAAACGAAATATTTACATCCCGATCTCTTATTTCATTTGTAAGTACATACAATTTACATTACTTAAGATGAGGAAATGAGGAAGCGTGTTTGTTTACATTTTAATAGGCGTACCATTGGGTTTATTCATGTTCATTAATGTATTGAATAAGATATAAGTTCATGAAATTAGTAGACATTTTAAATTGTAAGTAGACATCATCTGATTAAAAAAGATCTGTTTAGTACCTTTTTAATTTAATATTTCTCATGGATACAAATAAATTAGTGAAATGAATAAAACTCATTTATTTTTCTATGTAGGTTTCCAAATAATATTGACGATCGAACTATTCGGGTAGAAAATTTAGGAGAAAACATAAAGATTTTTTATTGTAGCATTATTTTGATACCTATTAAAAAATTAACTTGAATTCAACTATATTTAATCGTATTAATTTTAAAGCAAATAAAATTGTATTTTAATTTTTCTATAAAGACGTGATTTGTTAATAGTTAATATTACTACTTCCAATTTTTAAAATCTGAATAATTACCCGCGAGTAATAATTTAAGCACGCTTATGCTCATTGCGAAAGCATCACATTCTATCGAAGCTTCAAAACATTGTGTGTTAAAGGTATCTTATTGCTGTTTATACGTTCATGAGTGTTACAAATATAAAATATTCTTTACAAAATATTATATTGAGTATTGGTGTAGATAAATTAGGATTCGATGATCTTATTCCCCTTCTAAGTGATCATTACATCTTAGTTTAAATCAGCAATTAGGTTTGTTTAAAATCAAGATAAACGTCAAATACGACAGCGCGACGTAATAAGTAGAATATGTTTTGATTAGTTAGTCACTTATATGTCATGAAAGAATGTTAAACTCAGATATGTCAAAATTCATAGTTTTCATTTTCACCAAAAATTTATTTTTCTAATGTGTAATATCATTCCGATTCATTTAAGAAAGTTAATCACCAAATATCCTTGTGTTACTACTATAAAAACTCAGTGCTATTGTAGTGAAGATTCATTTAAAAAAAGAGGAAAGGCTTTTGAAGAGCATTACATAAGAAAACGGTCGGCGGAACAGCTTGCAGCTTTAAAGAAAAGTTTGCTGGAATCGAAAAGAAGTTTGTGAAAGATAAGGTGTTGAGTGAGCACGAAGAAGCTGGTGAACAAATCAAGGATGAATCTAAACTAAAACAGGAGAATGGGGAGAAAGATCCCGATAAAACGAGTGAGCAAGAAGAAGCTGACGAAAAAATTAAGGATAAATCTAAACTGAAAAAGGAAAATGGGGATAAAGATCCCGATAAAACATCGAATACTTAAAATTAGGCTACTATGATATTTAATAAGATGCAGTTTAAACGTATTTTATCTACAAAATTAGACCAGAAAGGTACTTAGTAAGCCACGCGACTTCAGAATTTTTTTTTGGAAATTATGAAAATATACATTATTTTAAGCTATTATCAAAATTATTTCAGGTATTTCCATTTGTGTAAATAAAAAATGACTTTGAAAATTGAAATTTTTACACTTTTAAAGGTCGATTCAGACACATCAGTCCCGTCGCAGTCTCGGCGACGAACCGGTCCTGTTTGGTCACAGAACTATCAACTATCTGACAGCTGGCAAACTGTTCGTTAACTGATGAATGTGAATGTCGGCGGCATATTTCTATTAAAGAATATTTTGTATGACGGATTGTTCGGTTCGGCGCCAGGACTGTGACGAGACGTGACTGATGTTTCTGAATCGACCTTTAGACGGCCGTATTGAGAAATGACTGCGACGTTTCCAAATTTATAAAAATGTTTAGTATCACAAGTATTCCCTGTATTTAAAATTTTATAAGTAGGTATTGGTTTTTAATTTATATAAATATATTTATTTATAAGTTTACAGTTCGATAGTATCTTAACCACTAACTTAACTCATAGAAGGTCTGCTTACATATAAAATTTATTATGTACTAGAATATTCGGGAGTAGTCCACGTCTAATTCGTTTGTTTGACGGGTAGATCTCTCCCGCGCTCGATTCATCTGGAAGCTTCTCTGCAGAGTCTCAAAGTGTCACTTGATGCACTGTCATGCAACTGACGCAATACTTCTGACACTTTACTTTTAGGTACAATCAACTGAAGCTTACGTTTCTGCACCATCATCGTTCTCAAAGGTTCTATACAGAAGATCATCTTTTAGCACTAGGCAATTCCATTTTCTCCAGTAACACTTGACTTCTGGGTAACATTCACTAATGTCTTGCCAAGGAGGTCTTTCACTTCGACGCATCCAATCCAATACTCTTTTTATACATGGATCATCTGCTTGAGCGTCTTGTAGCTGTTGAGGCTAACATTGATCATTAATGATGGTGGTTGGTCTCACGGGGCAAAGTCGTTCTTATTTAAGACAGTGATTACAATTTGCACTGCACGGCCGTCTCGAAAGGGCATCAGGTTCTAAATGAACTCTTCCAGCCCTGTGTTCGATGTGTTTCTAGCTTTCTGACTGTTGTATTATTTTCTTGCAATTTACAGTGAATGTGACCTACCATTCCAACTTCTGTATTTACGTCTCTTTGGCAATTCTTCGAGAATAATTTCACTCTCCTCCTTCAACATTTCTACAAGTATTCCATCTGGGCCCGGTGCCTCATTTAGTTATGCCATAGCTTGTTTAATTTCGAAGGATTCTATATTAGGTAGTATTTATAAGTTGATATTCGTTATCTTTCTGTGAAGATCTTCCTTTGCAGTGTTATTGGAACCCTTTCCTGGGTTCTTGATTAAGGAATATAAATCACGGTAAAATGTTTGAGTAACTTTTAGGGTATCGTTCTTTTCTCTTATTTCTTTTCCATCTTTTTCAGTTATTTGTTTATTCAATTCTTTAAAACCATCGGCGTTTCACTTTCCTTCGCTTGGAAATGTGCTTCTCTTTTCCATCAACCGTTTTGTTGCATCACTTATTCTGTCTTTTTTTTTCGATTTCTTTGCAACAGTTAGTCCTGCTTTCAAGATCTTTCGTTGCATTTTTTTATTAATTGTGTTCATGTCGGAATGCTGCCAGTTGTGAATCAATTGAGAGCAGTTATATCTTCAAAAATGTCTTTGTTTCCACACAAGAAGTAATCGATCTCGTTTTTCGTCTTTTTATCGGGAGATATCCGCGTCCATTCTCGGTTTGCTGGTTTCCGGAAATGTGTGTTCATGGCATATAAATTTTGTTGTTCTAAGAAATTATATAATTTTTCTCCTCTTTCATTGCTTTGCCATAACCACGCCATACCAGGTACTTATAAGGGATACAAAAAAAATCTAATTTGAATTATTTCCAATTAAGTCATTTTATTGAAATGATGGTCTTTACTGATAACTAAATAAACGATCTGTTGTGGACCCCTGCATTTATATCACTTAATAAAATAGATTTAGTTTTATTTTTAGATAAATATAATAATATGTAATTTTTTTATTAAAAGGATATTTTTATTTCAGGATGGAGGAAGTGCTTTATTTGTGGCTTGTCAATGCGGCCACATAGATGTGGTGAAGGAATTAATTAAAAATGGTGCCCAAGTAAACACTCACATGAAGGTTTGTATATAAACGTATTTATAAATGGAATCAATATTTTTATTTTTATTTAAATTTTAATATCTTATTCCTTCTGTTTTAGGACAAAGCAAGTCCCCTTTTTATAGCAGCACAAAACGGCCATTACAAAATTTTGTTATATTTATTAGCACAAGGAGCAGAAACGGATTCTCGAAGAACGGACGGAGCGACTGCATTGTGGATAGCCGCACAAATGGGTCATGATCACATAGTAGCACAACTTTTAAGGGTGGGATCGAAGGTAGACGCAGCTAGACATGTAAGTAGATTTTTTATAGAGTCACAAATAATATAACTAGCGAATTTATTTAATAGGTTTTTTTTTTATTAAATATATTTTATATTTTTGCAACGCTAAATAGTACATATATATATAATATATATATATATATATATATATATATATATATATATATATATATATATATATATGAAATTGCGACGTTGAGGATAAAGACGATCGCTTACGTCGTGGAATGGCTTCCCAGTAGGCTAAGTTCCTACAATACCTATTAATGATGTATTGTATACGATTCCTACAATTTTGATTGAACACTTTGACTGCGTCACATATCCCCAGGGGCATGTTAGTAATTTTTCAACTGTGTTGTAGTAAAATTGTGCCTCATCTTGTGGTAGCAATAAAAATGGTATTTATATACGTCGTTTTAAGTGTAACAAATAGCTATCGATACCAATTTTTTAATTCTCGCTACTAATGTTGGTAATATCAGACATGCCCCCGGAGACACGTGCCGCACATAAACAATAATTTGTTGTTACTATGCCTCACAGACCCCGGGAGGCATGTGTCATTGCCATTCGTTTCAACTTGTTGGTGCTAGTCGCTGTATATATTCTGTTTCAGGTATTGTAGTTTATTGAAGTATGAGCAGTACTTGTTAAAATGTCAAGATTAAAATCGACAAAAGGTGATAGAAGTTTCAAATGAGCAAACAATCAGTGATCATAAAAATTTTGGAGAGAGTTATGAAACAAATACTATTTTAAATGAATTAAATGGTACCTAATACAGGGTTGATTGAAAGTCATGAACATTTATAGATGAAGACGAACAACAGTTTATACGAACAGAAATAGAACACGAAATGGATAACGAAGAGACTGATGAACTCGATATGGAGAATAAGCAGACAGCAACTCAATCTTCATTTGATGTCGGCAGTATCGAAGATCCCTTTGACAGTGACGATTCATAAATCTTCATCCTCCGATTCAAATTCTTCTATTGATAGTGATGAGCAAGTTCCATCAGATAATAATGAACAGAGTGCTGAGAATAGTGATGGTGTGATTTCGAAGAAGATATAGATGGTGACGATTTTGTAGTAAGAAAGAATACATTAGTTGGTATGGAACCACATGTGATACAGAAACCAATAGATGTTTTTAGTCATTTCGTAACTGATGAAATATTGGATATTATTGTGAATGAAACCAACATTGATGCTGTTCAACAATTAAGTATGTGACACTCAAGAAAATCCAGGTTAAATTTATCGACAGCCACAAACAAAACTGATATAAGAGCCTTCTTAACAGTAATAATCACAATGACTCGTCAACCATGGGTTGGCTCTGAGGACGCCAAAAATCAAACCTTGACTGTGTATTTTATTTCTATTTTCCATTTTATTCTAGTATGGAGTATTAAGAAATCGTTTTCACGAAGGAATTTCTACCTAGACGAATTGGTACGACGACGTGGATACAAATTATAAGTTTTCATGCCTGTGCATTTCGGTGCAAAAATTTTTTTCCTAACAAAACATAAGTGAAGCTGTAAGTTTAGCTTTTTATATTTCTGATATTTTATTTTAGGACGGAGCAACACCTCTTTTCAAGGCGGCTCATAAAGGACATTCTGCAGTAGTGGGAGAACTATTAAAATACAAGCCTTCATTGGGAATTCTTCCAGTAAGTACGTTTAAAATAATACCATTTTTAAATCTGTATATTAAAATATATACAGGGTGTGCCAAGAGAAGCGGAACAGTCGAATATTTAACGAAATTGACATTAGATAGAAAAACTGAAAAACACGTGTTACAAATGTTTTAAAAATCTGTCGAATGACATTAAACACGGCCCCACAGCCACGCCTTCTAGAGCTGGGTGGGGGGCAACTTTGAAATCATAAATGGGAACCTTCATTTTTTATTGCAGATTTAGATTTCTCATAAAAGAGAAGTGACACCTTATGAAAATTTTGGAAACGGTCTAATATCTCGAGAAATAATACACTTTCAAATGATTAACTAGAAATAATTTTTCAGTATTTTTCAAAAATCTATTGAATAATAGCAAATAGGATCCTGCACATCCATCACCTGTCAGAAGGGGAGCAACCTTGAAACCTTAATAAAAAACCACACTTTTTATTGCAGATTCTTGTGCATTGTATTTCTTGTGATTGGCCCTATACGTGTATAGGTAGGAGATCTTGTGGTCTGAATTATTTTTGCCTTCTTTAAATTTGTCGTATTCGGAAAATTTGTCATCATTACGTGATACAATACTTTTACCTGAAAGGCCTCGGCCCAACCAATATAGAAGATTCTACTCTGAGTCTGCCCCTTTATTTACAACAGTAAAATATTGGATGTCAAAGTTTAAATGAGGCAGTACGTGCTGCTAAACGAGAATTACAGTGATCGAGCAAATGAGGTGACGACTCCAGAAATGGTGAATAAAATCCATGAAGTGGTAGTGGATGATCGTCAACTGAAAATACGCGATTACGCAGGATTTCCAAAAATTACGGTACGCAAAATGGGTTTCGCGTTTGTGTAATGTACTGGGAACACCACTGTACAACTCTATGGAGGTTATATCCCCTATTGTAACATCTGGAACTAGAGGGTGAGAAAATCTTCACCACTGTACAACGCTGTTACCACTGTAATATACTGGTAATGAACCTTAAAGGATGCTTATCCCTGCGAGCGACTGCAAGGAATACTGGTCCCACTAGTCTAGAGGGCTGGCTCGCCTTCGTGGATTTACGAGAAGGTAAGGAACTTCGGAATAGGGGTTAAGGACTTCTAGGTCTCAGGTCCTGTAAAGAGGTTGAGTCTATGGGCTTACTTTAGAAGCCGGATAAATGTATAAGCCGAAATTTGGTACTCTTCTGGTCTCTGTCTGAATTGATCGGAAGGAACATAAAAACCAATTTTAGAGTCTACAAATGTATTGAATATACTATGTGGTTTACAATTAAATTAACAAGCTGTCAGATATAATTATTAATAACTCGTTCTTCGCGAAGGGAGACGAGAAGAGATCTTAGCAATAAAGTAAAGGGGTGACAATCTGTAATACTATAATTTACTCGGGTTAGTATATAGAATTTGTTACCTTTCGCGTATTTAGGCTCTAGCTAATGATACGCCCTTCAGTTCCTCTGGAAATCGGATTTCTTTCAGTACCCGACACTTATACGGAACTGTACCCCGTCGAAATATAACAATCGCGCGGAATCCGCACTTGATGCCGACTCTCGTATTAACAACCCTGCCCGAAGACACCGACTGCCTGTGCGTACGGGACGCTATCGCGTCCGACCCGATGCCGGCGATCACTGCCTGAGCGGGTAGTCACGGTGCCCAGCTATTACTGATCGCTTCCGCCGTACTACACTCTGCTTAGCCTCCTTAGTTTGGTTTTTATCAACGTGTGTCCTCATTGATCGGCTGTAGTACCAAGGTTGCGTTTTTGCAGTTAGCAATTCTATGCTTCATTTGGTCACGAGCGGTGTTATTTTTCTAACAACAGTTCTGTTTGACGTGCTTTTTCTACGTTTAAACAATTATCAAACAATGCACTAACTAGGTCAATTTCTTTGTGTAATTTAAAATGTATACTTTACTGTATTAATTATCCCTTATTTGATTTTTATATTTGATTTATATCCCGTATTTGAATAATAATCATTAAAATGATTATTATTCTCCCTATGCTACTAGCCCTTATTTTTTCTATTCTTTATTTTCTTGCTATGTTTACATTACATTTGCTCACACTCAAGAAAAAACAGTGTCGTGAAGATGTTTCAATCGAGTGTTTAGCAAAGTTTCACAGCAACAAAGTAAAATTTTTGCGCTGTTTCGTAACCATGATTAAAATATGGGTCCACCACTACACGCGCGAGACAAAAGAACAATCAAAACAATGGACTCAAAAGGAAGAACCTGTTCCAAAGAAGACGAGAACCGTTTCATCTGCAGATAAGAAGTTCAAAGCAGCACAAACAAACTTGAATAGAAGCTAAAAATATGAAAATGTTGCTGTATATAATTTGTACATTGGATTCTTGATAAAACTAACTTAAAATAAGAGTTAGTTTTTTAGTGGCCTTAAAAAAATGAGCAATACGTACAGATAACTACAGGCGCTAACAACTAAATGTTCGAACAAACGAAAATTTACTGAAAACGTTAATTTTTACGATCTTTCTTATTGAACCAAAGAACGAGATCAATAATACATTAAACTCTATCTTTAATAACAAAATATTGAAATGACTCTGTCTTATAAACTTTGAATTGCAGGGTTGGCGGCAAAATAAACGAGCATGTTGCTAACATCGTGACAACTTAATGTTCGAAAAATTCAAAAAATTATTATTTTAATATGGAGTTACATCGTCACGCGTCTTTACAACCGCGTCAATCCTGTCTGCCATGGTTTGTACTAAGAATTTACACAAATCAGGGTCCTCTTCCATAATTCACCTAATTTACTCTTCAAATCGGAGATGGTTCCCTGAGGATCATTCCGCAATTTCTGTTCTAAACTATTTTTTTAAATTTATACATATTTAAACATATCTTCCTGGACTCGCTGATGGCATGCAGCCCCAAATCATAGTGCTGAGAACTATATCTCCAAACCAATAATTCTATTTTGTATCAAATAATTCTATTTTCGCGTCGGTTACCTAAATAAATCCAGTCTACCTAGACCTTGTTTCTGAGAATGTTAATCCCCGCCCACAGCACCTACTTGACGACAGACCGGCTTTTCAAAATACATAAACAAAAAAATATTCCAGCGGGGCTAGTGATTTAGCGACTTTCGTAGGGCTAACATCTATATTTCAAAAGTTCGGAGAGGATTCTCCACGTTGCAGTTTACGCAATTGACCGGGAAGCCGTAATATGTGAATAAGTGTTATGGTGTTTTCGCTTTAATTCAAATTAAGTTCCTACGATAAGTTACACACTCAAATTTTATAAGCTCTATTTCTTTCCCTTTCTTTTTTCAATTACAGTTTCTTTCTAAACAAGTAATTGTTTTATTTCACTATATCAATTCAACAGGCCAGATAAAAGCAACTTTGAAAGACCATTTTAGTTTCTCTACTGAGCTGTCGAAGGCTAGCGGACTAATTGGGCTTACAGCAAGAACAAAGCCGCTGAAAGAGACACTGTTGCATATAAGCCTCTCCATGGAAGGGATGTTGTAAACCGGCACCCTCCACATAGTTCCTTTAAAAAACTTCACTATTCTTTTGAGGAAATCGTTATGGAAGGCTTTATTTTGAGTTGTGATAACCCGTTTTCAAAAGTGTCCCACGCAAACATCAAATTTCGATTCGTCACTGAATTTCACTCTCAACCAGTCATCAACGGTCCATGAAAACTTTAAGCAACCACTTCAGTTGATACAAGATTTTATGTAGCGTTAATGACTAACCCAGAGTCATATTCAGTGACAAATCGAAATTTGATGATTGCGTGGGAGACTTTCGAAAACGGGTTATAAGAAGTCAAAATGAAGCATTACATAAATATTGCCTCAAAAGACCTGTCAAGTTTCCCAAAGGAAGCATCATTTGGGGGTGTAGGAAGATATGAGGTGGTGGAAGGCAGAATTAACGCAGCAATTAAAGTACCAAGAAATGTTGAAAAATAGTCTTGTACCAAGTGCTCACGATCTCTACTAGGACATGAATTTTATATTCCAGCAGGACTGTGCTGCATGTCATACAGCTAAAACAACTAAAAAATGGTTTGAAGATAATAGCATTAAAATCCTGTCATAGCATAAGATAAAACAGAAATTGCGTAATGATCCCCAGAGAACCGTCGCCGATTTGAAGAGTAAATTAGGTGAATTAGGAGATAGTTTCGACCCTGACTTGTGTAGATCCTTTCTTATGTTGACATTTATTGACTACATGTTTGGATATTGAAAAAAATAAATAAATAGGAAACCACGTTCTATTTCATTTTAAAACAACTAACTCTATAAGTAATAATCACAATATTTGCCAGTTTTTTTATTACATTGAGTCAATAAATTATCGATTTAAAAAGATACTTCAATTGTATGTAGTTTCACATTTTAGTATCTTGACTAATATCTTCCTGCTTTAAATATTACGGATAATCAGGACAATCTGTGCTAAAATACAACCCACTTTAAAGTGCAAAACATCTAAGGTAGCCATATAAAGGTAGTTGCACTGAAATTTAATAGCGGATTTATTGATTTCGCGTAGGGTCAACGTCTGAACACTTTCTTTTCAATGTATGACTGATGACTAATAGGTACAAAGACAATGAACTGGTTACATTAATCTCAAAACAACTCAAAACGTTTGAAGGTCGAAGTTCATAGTTACATTAAAATTTAGAACGTTTTCTTTTGGTGCCAAGTACTGTCAATGTTTATGTGAGTAGTATTTCTGATTTAGGTGTGTTAATCAAATTAGGTCGTAATTTTATAAAGTTTTATTTATTTGATAAATTTCCACAAGCCAATAAAGGCAATAAATTTTTTGCATCTTTTTTGGATTTAGCCAAAAAAGTGAAAGGAAGGCTTCAAGACAAGTGAATTTTGTTTCGAAAGTTAAAAAAAATACCAAAAATATTTAAAAAAATGGAAAAAATTTATGAAAAAATCGGAAATTA